TAAAAAAATCCTCCTTTTTAACAGGCTCTTATTATTCATGGAATTCCGTTCGTCCATAAGTCGGTATTTTATCCTCCTTTTCCGACGTCACGGTTTATACACAGAAGGAACCAGAAAGGAGAAAATGATTTGTGATTAATCATTGGCCTGCAAACAGGATTTAATAGAATGGCATTAGTAAAGTGATTCGTTCGATCGAATATATTTATTTGTTGGGGCTTAGGTTTTCTATAGTACGATAGAACTATTGGGTTGGATACGAGAGGTAAGAGATACTTCAGTGGAAGAATTCGCATAAAATATTTTTAATAGATTGACCCAAATACACTATTCATATCCCAATTTTATTATTTGATTCTCTTTGATTGAACGTACATTAGAGAAAAGGTTAAAAAAAGAAAGGATCATTTGTGAGCTCGCTTATTCTCTTGTTAATGGTTGACGGAGTTTTTTTTTACCTGTTACATGTGTGAGCTTGTAAGTAATCAACGAGGGACTCGTTATTGAGAAATACTGTTTTATCGAAGCCATGGCAAAGTGCATATACATGGTTTCGAACCCGGGATCTCCCAGTTTACATGAGACCACTGCTCTTCGTTGGGGTTATCGCCTCATTTCTATTCCTATGTGAAAATAACCGTACAAAGCAATATTAATGAAAAGCATTGCTCTTAAAATTCTATTATGATCTGAATAGGACTAGAAGTAGTTGACAACTTTGGACTAGTCTAGCCTATATTTTAAATGTGACATAAGTATTTGAATTCACATAATTATAATGTGTACTCCTATCTTTGCACAGTGCTACTTTCTTAACTTGGGTTTCAGTAAGATCAACTCAATTTTCTATCCATTTGAATGGTCTAAAGACCTCAACAAAATAATCGTTCTTGAGCGCTACATAATCAGTCTTTCGCAATAAATTCTAGACATTTTCTCTCACAATACATTGTCCTGTAGTTGAACTTTATATGGAATTTCTCCATCATGTTATCAATAATTAAGATGTATCCCAAGGACAGGATGAATATACATAATGACTTGTGTTTCGTGGACATTCATGATAATCTTTTGTGATTGATTGTTCTTGATTTTGTTGTTTCACATATTTTTTTTAAAGAAGCAGCTGCATATCGTAGTAAGGACAAATCCCCTAGTCATGTTCAGAAGATTGAATTAACAGGTGGTCGGATAAAGATGTCTTGATTAGTTCACGCTGGGCAATGACTTTCTTGAGTGTGCATAAAGACTCCTTTGGAACGCACGCATGCAGTTCACGGTGAATGATGATGTATTTCAGGCTCGTATACCAACCGTGCTCCCTTAATCACCTGTTTTTCATCCAAACATTGCTTTAAACGACATGCTCCACGATCAATCAATTGAATCTGCTGCATTGCTTAAAAGCTCCTTTGTACTTTGACAGAAGCGCCGATTTAAAAGTTCACATTCTCTGTAATTCAAACAATAGGCTAATGGAAGATTATGCATGTATACATTGTTTTGCAGAGAGACCTAAGTCGGCAGTTAAAATGTTAAACGAATGCTCGCGTAGGCAATGCAGATGAGATAAATGAAATAATGGATGCCATGATTCAAAGCACTTAGATTTGAAAATTATCTGGTAAAGACGCGGGGATAAAGAAAATGTTCTTCTCTCAGGGCAATGTTCTGGCAGCATCCTAATGTCTCCTGGTGGGTTTAAAATATACCTTGCAATTGATACTCCTAGCTAACCTTTATTATTAAACTTGATCAACAAACAGATTGTAGTGCATGTTAGCTTCATGGATACCACAAGCATATATAACTCATATGTTGCGGGGGAGGGGAGAATTATTTACTTATATAAAGGCAGGGTAAAGTTGTAAAACTTCGTTCAAGGTGAACACATTGATCAGATTTGAATACTTCCTATTTCTCTTTTGAATGAATTGACGTCATTTTTATTACCAGTTTCCCGATTACGGTAATAAAGATGGAATTTCTTCTGTTAATTCATTCAATTTTGTTTTCCCAAAGTCTTTTTTGCTTTATTTCTGTTCATCTGCCCTTTCCAGACTGTTATTTTTGTACGGGATATAAAAGGTAAAATCAGTTCTACACCTAACTGATCGTAGATATATCATGGTCGAGTGGATTCGTCACCGGACTGTGGGTCACAACGTCCGCGGTTCGAACCACACTGCGGCACTAATGTCCTTTGGCAAGTCATTAATCTACATTTGCTACTCTCGACCCGGGTGATGTTAATGGGTACCTGGCAGTAATACTAAAGCTGGGGTAATAATTGAGAAGCGACAGGAGTGTCAAGTATAATGTATAACAGATATGAGTGTTATACAAAAACCCACCATTGTCATTGTTCATTGTAACAAAATAAACAATTCTTCACCATCGCCCCCATATCAATTAAAATGGGTTTCAGGGTTAAATTACTTTGCATTAATTCATTTTCTCTGACATTAAGTCGCACGAGCATTGGAAGTAGGTAATTGTGAAATCACTTCCTGTTTTCAAATTATCTGGAGTATCTATTTTTCAAAATAATCTATACTCTGTGGGTTAAGGATAATGAGTTCTAAATTTTTATTTTTTCTTAACAAATCTTCCATCTATCTCGATGGCCTTAGCAAGGAAAAATGATCATCTACTTGTGTGTTGATTGTTGAAACGAATTTTCTTTACATTTTTCTTTCTATGTGTGTATGTGTTGGGAGGGGGAGGGTATAGTTTATCAAATGTTTGTTCAAGAAATTAAGTGGCCGGTATCAAATCCTAAATAAGTTTGCACTTATTTTGCTGTTACCTGCCAGTGCCATGCATTGTAATTCAAAGATGACTGGTTGGTTTCCAATTATTTCATTTATTTCCTTTTCTCACAAAGTTCACATCTTCATAAGATAATCTATTATGATTTTCAAATGCTCAGTGATATTTTGGTAATTGTTTATGAAAAGTCGCTAATGAATTTGTTAAAAGCTGAAATTCATGCACAGGTTCCTGAAATGTTATTTATGTTGCTTCTTTTGTTCATTTCTTACCATGGTGACAAAAATACTACATGTATTTCGGACTTGGGGGAGTATTGGGGGAGAATATAGAACCACATGTATGTATGGGCCTAGTATATTTTGCGTCAAAAACAATTCCTTCTGTGTAGGGACTTACACTCAATTATGACATCAACTTTGGTTACATTGTTATATTTCCTGAGATCTTTCAGCGACAAAAAAAAAACGGGAAATTTTCAAATAATTAATACGTCCACATCTATGGGAGATAACACATTTCATTTAATCGAGTTTAGGCTGTATTTATCTACTGTAACAAGCCATTAGGCTGAGTACGATACGTGCATAAACTGCATCAACAAGAGTGGATAGATCTTGTAATGATTGAATGAAAACATCCATCATTCGTTTTATACAACGAAAATCCTAGATCCTTGTTAATTGATGTAAAAGAAATCATTTCAAGATTGAGTTGGATCATAATGGCTGAGTAAAAAATCCATAGATTAATAGGCCTACTTTAGTATACAACTATTGACTGCTCATGAGGATGATGGTTGAAGTTATCACTCCCAAGGTGGTGTTCATACCGGCCCTTCTATCACTCCCGCGGCGAAGCCGGTATGAACACAACTGAGGTAGTTTTAATTTCCACCACCATCCGATTACAGAGAAGTCCATATTTATTTTCTTTTATATACCTCATCTTTTTCATTGATTCATGAATAGTTCTAGAAAAAATATCCAATATCAAGAGTCTATTTGCTCCTCACAGTAACATATTTACAGTCTTTTGAAGTTTAAAACAGCTTCAATTATCCAACGCTAAAATAAATCCAACATAAGGAAATCCAATCTATACAGGTACTGCAGAAAGGTAGTGCAATTGCTGCGGCGCAGCGTAGATTACATGACTTGAGCGCCGTGACACCGCTGGAGTTAGCCGCTTGACGGCATTTGAAATCCTGTACGCTCTGTGTGTGTAAAAGTCGCGGCGGGTTAGGCATACTATAACATGGTTTCAGCGTTTTATCATTTGACCTTTGGTCAATTGATAGAACGCCAAAACCCTCTGACGCATTGATAGATCAAGATGCTCCTTGTCATGTGAGTTTTGAATAAGAATCTATGTATTGAGGTATATAACACGCATTATATTTCACATACTAAGAATCTTGCTCTACGATTGGTCTACTATCACTTCCCCGTCGATCAGAATGTATACGCTATCTTTCCGAAGCGAAACATCCAGGTCGCCTCGGAAGTGATAGTTTGTCCCATCACCTTCACCAACTATACCCGTTTACCGTGGTGCTACGCAAGTATAGGCACACACATAAGCGCACTGCTAAGCGCATCGCTTACTTAAAAATCGTTGGATATTACTATAAACAATTGCGCGCTTTTCAGTGAAAATACGTAGGATAGTCACAGTAAAATAATCACAACTTTCCGCGTTGACCATTCATTATTTGTTTAGGATATAGGATTGAGTTGTGAACTACTTATTAAACATTAGTGTGTGCATTGTACAAATTTGTATTGTATTACTATCATGCAATCGTGTTAAAAGAACACCGATGCCTGTTTGGATGGCCATCATAAGTGATAATTTATACAGGATCTTATAACAATCTACATAAATTATAATATTATTATTATCGAAACAGGTTCGGACTTTTATGTTTCATTCTATTAACCATGCGCTTTAAATGAATGAGAATACTAGTTATCTAAACGAGAAATCGGATAATGGCTCTATTCCTGTGACACATCTTCTTATAGCGTCTCATAAAAAAATTGACAGCAAATAATCAACTTTTCTTTTTAGCACAAAACAAAATGTCAACAAATACCACAAATAGATGCCATTTTAGCCGTGAACATTATTATGTTTGGAATGGAGCTCACTTTTTCATCATTAAAATCCAATTTATAACCCATGAGAGAAAGACCCAAACATGAAAGAGACAAACATGAAAATACCTTTGTCTCTGAGTACTGGGTTGGTCGTCCGTCGTTCTCGTGCAAGATTGGCCGGAAGTGACGTGGCAAGGGCGCAGAAAAGCACAACCAGGAGAAATAACCTCAGCTCCATTGTTGTACTGTATACGGAGAAAAGAGGGGAAAACACATTTTATATCTTTAAAAAGAGGAACGTTTGAAAAGCACCTGATGGAAACGAACGACAGGGAAACACAAATGAGGTGATGCGCTTGTGGAGCGGTGACAATAGAAATAATGAAAAAGTGTGACGCTATTTTATTTCTGGTGTCCGTGTGGCACGCACTTGCGTCAGGGTTCTCTGATTGAACTTGCCGCAAAAATGATGAATTCTCCCTGGTTGTGGTAATTTTTCGGCGGTAGATCTAATCGGATTTATGAGACTTCTTTTCAAGGCAAGACGAATCATGATCTGTATACAACTTCCATCTGTATCCATCCGTCCTTTTCTGCCTTTTTCATTCTAAATCTAATGATCTTTCTAATTATGACCTCCATCATGTCGAGATAGGATATAGGTCTATTGTATCTTTAATATCGTTACCGTGTTCATATTGGGAAAATGTACGATGTGGTAGAAAATTGCTTTACATTTACATACGATTTCCCCTTCCTCGCTCTCTCTCTCTCTCTCTCTCTCTCTCTCTCTCTTCTCTCTCTCTCTCTCTCTCTCTTCCCCCTCTCCTATTCCTTCTCCCCCGTGGTAATCTCCTCATTCCAATCGCTATCTTCACCTGTCAGTGTATTTTACTCTCTTTTTCTCTCTCCTGACTTCTCACTCACTCATGGAATCATGGCCCCAGAGGAGATATAAAAATATCCACCACAAAACGCTCGTGAAGCAAATAGGAAGATTTCTTTTAATTCAAAATATTATCTTTCGGGATCTAGTGCCATATTTGCTATTCCTTATTTTCTATTTCCCTATAGCAAACTCACGTATGCAAATATGGCTACAATTTCTGAGATTGACTCCTGAGAAGATTGACTCCTTGGAGAAATACTGTTTTTGCACTGTGTATTTTCTCTGTCCATTTGCCGCATGAAAAGTTCCTACTGCAAAAGGATGAATTCGTACCTTTAAGCGAGAACAGCATCAAGTAACGAGATTGGTGGTAAACCATGAAATTATTATCATTTCGAGATCGAAAGCCTATTTCTTAGAATTGTTAAATTTCCTCTTCGACTGCTTCACGTCATTGGTAATGCCTTTTGCATGTACTGATCGGAGCGTGGAATACACTTAAGAAGTCATCATTACGATTGTAACATGAATATTGCTCTTGACATCCATATTGTTTTTATTAGCTTAAGAGCCTGTTTGAAGAAATAACAGATTCGTGTTTCCAACTCTACCTTAAGAAAATCCAGATTACATATCGCCATCAGCTACCTAGCACTTGTGTTTTCACGTTTTCTCCCTGTCATCTCTTCTTTCCTTTTAATTCTTCAATTAGCCATACCAGGCTGAAACCAATGTTGATGCGAGATTGTTGACAGGGGAGATTATATTTTTCTTCTCGACTTTACAGAGACGTTGTTTATTATAGATATCAATTACTGGTTTTACATCCGTATTATATCGAAGTAGGATTTCACAAAAACAAAAGTTTTTTATCGCATAAATATGTTATCTGAATGGAGACATCACTGACAGTCTATGATGTAAGAAGAAACTCTGAATGGTAAGTTTAATCACCAAAGGGCGGTGACTTCTTTGCTGTAATGTCGGAAAGTGCATTTTGTGTGGTCGTATGGACGTTACCAAAACAAAATAAGATATTCAGGCTTGTGTGCGAATGCCATTTCTTCAAACACAAAAAATATGCCACCTTCGAACTGTCTGAATTTAGCGTCAAACATTAATCCCAGTGTGTTTGATCGTCCTGGGAAAAATATATTGACGTTGATTCATGGCGTTAAACGGGTGGCAGTCGGTAAATAGTGTGTTTGTTTGGATGCGTGTAGGTGTGCGTAAGTGTGTGTGCGTTAGTATGTACGTGTGTTGTAGGTGCGTGGGCAAGTCTGATTTATTTATTTAGGTATTTTAGAAGAGGGTTACTTTTTAAAAATTTCATTTGTATAACAGACAAAGAAATAATGCATTATTCTACATATATACAATTTAATGAACACCAATCTGGAGCGTTTTGACAGGGGAAAAAATACGAGTTCCAATTTGAAATTTATATAATATGTCCAGCTAATAAAGTTGCTACGTGGTTATTGCAATATGTTTTTTGTAATTGATTGCGAGAGCTGTTTTTGCAAAAAGTAGGGAAAACCCCTGACATCCAATTTAATAACCTAGTCAAAGGTGAATATAAAAGAATCACCCGAAGCTTTAATGGATTTATATCCCCAATGACCAGTCTAGAATGGATAAATGAATGTATAAATACATGTACTATATATATAATGCAGTAAATCTAAGAGCAAGCGAGGAAGAATTTAATTTCCTCTGACGATAGTCACCGTATTTGGCATGATGAACATACACCCACGGAAGGATATATGAAATAGAATATATTCACTTTATTGTGTTTTACTTTATATCATGATGAAATGGAGCAAAAAGATTGATTTTGTTAAAGAAATACGAAAGTCATTAAGTCATTTAGGAAGACTTTCATATTTTGGAAAAAAATATATGAGAAATTCATATTCTTAAGAAAAAAAGAAAACTCTCCCTTGAAAATATAATGTCGAAGTCCCAAACACATTAGGATTAATTCTGAAATAAAATAAAACAAAAATCGAAATACTCTGTTAATACAATACCTTTGAAAAGAGTGGAACATAATTAACTGTATGTGTAGTGTTATAGGATAATTCCCTTCTGGATTTTAGCATACTTGTAAATCTATATATATTTATGTGTTTCACTACCTTCTTAAGTTTGTATAATATTTCTGATCTTTGATTTTATTTCCTGAACATTTTTGTAAACAATCAATGACGTTTCCTTCTGTATTTTGTAAATGTTATGAATTTATATTTAAAATAACTGTTGAACTTTGTTCTTACCCAAATAGGCCTCATGGAATACCACCACTAGTGATGAAAGTGTGCTATCCTGTTATTTTTTAGCCTACGTGAATAAATAAATAGTAAATGGACTCTACTGTATAGTGTTGCATTACATTCATTCATGATTTGTTCGTGAATATACATAATACAATCTATACAATGCAACGGTATACTATTCGCGATGTCACAAATGCACATTCATTTATCACTCTTTCCAAACGTTATAGCATTGCAATTTGAGCAGCAGACTTTAAGCAGATGATCCCCACCCTTGGTCACTAGATGTGATTTTGAAATTCAGATTTTGGGGACATTACAGCGGGCATCCCATAACGTGTCATGTGATATGGTGTATCTTGGTTGTCATGACAATAAGATACTTATGAATATTGGCAGATTTAGAACCGAACGTTCAGCATAGACAGTTCCGATGACATGCGATCGTAACTATAATTATTTATCTCTAAGTTAATATTCTTTCTATAGATCTTGGTCTTGATATTTTCTCTTTGTGAAATTCCGTATTGAGGAAGATAATAATGGGAACATCACTGACCCAAAAATTATCTATTACCTACAAGAATGATGCTGACTTTGCACGAAGCAATTCTGACCTTCCTCTCTCTCTTTCTCTCTCTGCCTCTCTGCCTCTCTCTCTCTCTCTCTCTCTCTTCTCTCTCGGTGTCTCTGTGTCTGTCTGTATGTCTCTTCGCTGTCTCTCTCTCTCTCTCTCTCTCTCTCCCAAACACACTGTTTTGCTTTCTTATTTCTCTATGTTACTCATGCCTATTATGTTTTCCTTGTTTTTATTTGATTCGTTTATTTTTCGTATTTGTTTTGTTCAATTTTATAACTGGCTTTTGTTTGTATTATAATTTGTATATTTTTATTCAGTTCACGGACTTTCTGAAAAACAGACGTCTAGGCTGAAGTTAGTTTTCATGTTTAAACAAAGAAATGAAATGAAAATAATGCTCCTTCTCTGTTTCTCTCTCTCACACACACACACTCTCACACTCTCTCTCTCTCTCTCTCTCTCTCTCTCTCTGAAATTGTATGTGCCCATGTTTGTGTCCAAAGTGTGTCTGCTTTGACCTATTATCCAGCAACAATTGCTATGAGCTCACTTTGGGACCCAACACTACAACCAACCACAGACTCATCTAATAACCTAATTGCAATCCGAAACCTATCGCTATATCGCTTACTAATTAAAACCTGAATAAATATGCCGTCAAAGAAAGTGTACGATTCCTTGTCTGTCCTTTCCCCCTCTTTAGTACCCATTCTTCTCTTTCTCTCTCTCTCTCTCTCTCTCTCTCTCTTTCATTTCGTTTTCTTTAGAAAACAATATTGAATCACCGCAGTTACTAACAACCCCTAATGCCCTTGCTCTCCCGTCGAAATCTCTTATTCTACTTAATCTTCCAGCGTCTCAGGCAAAGATTAAAAGAGTTATAAGATATCCCAGGGTCTAGTGTGGCTATTAATTCCGCGATCAAACAGTCTTGATAGAGGAAAGTAGATAGGAAAATACTACTACACTTAACCCCTATTGTTATCCCACGAATGCATATTGAAGAAGAAATGCAATATTTCCAGACGTTGAAAATGTAATGATATGTAACATGAGTGTATCTATATATATATATATATATATATATATATATATATATATATATATATATATATATATATACACTGTAAAAAAAAAATAGTCGAAATAACTCAATAAAATTGAGGAAAAGAATTGCCTCATTTTTATTAAGTAAATATTACCTACGGCATCTTAAGTAGAATTTACTTATTTTGCTGAATAAAGTTTTACTCAGTTAAATCGAGTTACATTAACGTAAATAATTTAAGTATTGTAATCATTTTAGATAATTAAAAAAAAGCTATGATAGGATTACATGTTGCACGATTTGGTACCCATCTAATCTAACAAGTAACATCCACTAATCATTCACTACTTCTATTTAATATGTAACCGCACACATATATCTACCACCATCACAAACTATTACATACGCTTCAATTCGACACATATTGAAAGGCTCCAAATTTTATA